GAATGACGCCCCGTCGACGTCGCCAAACAGAGACGGCGCTAGCCTCGCACGTGAGTGCTTTTTGGCCCCGATCTGTTGTGACTCCGTTTCTGACTTGGTGTACTACTACAGAGAGCCATTGAAGATGCCGTATGGAGTCTGTTGAAGCCGCAGAGCCATTGAAGATGCCGTACGCCATCTGTACGAGGCTGTGTACGAGGTCACGCGACAACTGCTAAACGGATGGGACAATCATTGTGGTACGTCTCATTCCTCCACTCGTTGACAGCACATTCTTATTTGTGGGTACTTCCTTCTGTTAGCCGATGAGCATGTAGAACAACCGCACTCTGAGCCTCGACGTTCGCGGCGATCGACTGCGGCGGCACAGAATCCATGATGACATCGAGGCGGCACTGTCACATCGAGGTCACTGCCCGACCATGGGGTTGCGGTAGGATGCTCTGCGCGAGCATGGGATGTCCTTCCATCCTACATGTTGTCGTTTCGGGAGAGTACTCCTGCGAGAGACCGTGTAGGTTGCAATGGATATCTTGTGATCATCGTCATACATGTGCGAAGCCGGGCAAGGACGCAGTCACCGTTCGCTGGGCATCAACGCGGCCGTGTTGTGATTGAAGCTGGCAAACGCAGGGCCATGCCAGACCTCAAATTCAAACCTATCACCTTGTCTCATTTCCTGCAGAGGTGCACAATGACGAGACGAGTGACTTTGAGTAAGGTTCTAAGACAACTTGACTACTACACTGGCAGACACCGAGCGTCGGAGCATGTTCACATCGGGGTATTCCTGGGCACATTTGCCGTACACTGAACAACAAAAGGTACACCAGTACAAGGACGATGATACTACACAACGGCATCTCCGAGGGAAGCATAGCAGAGAACAACGAGCTTCTGTGGTGTCTTCAAGTTGTGTTGTAATAGCACTTATGATGAAGTACTGGCTGTGACGATAACGTCAAATATACACTCTCCTAGCAACTGTCAATTGTGTCAACCATCAAACAACGCGCATTGCATTGGAGCTTGAAAACAAGGACACTTGAGAAATCGTCCGCGCATCGCGTCCCACGTACATAAATATAGAGGCTCAGAATCGACTGTCGAGATAGCACCGCGCAACTCTGTTCAACTTGAAGCCTATATACACGACAGCGTACTTACGACCAGCAAATCATGGCCGAAGTCAACGAGGGCCTCGACGTCGTCGCACCGCCAGGCTACACCATAGGTACGAATGACATATGCTGCGCAACATCGGCTCTGACAACTTCGATCTCAGGCGAAATCGAGATACCAAGTGAACCACTCGCAACCCTATCGTTCGACGGCATCGAGACGGATCCAATGAACGGGGCCCGCTCATGCTCGATCCACGAAACCCGCTCAGCAGACCCATCCAACGAGACCTGCGCATGCCCGCGTCGCGGAACTTACTACGTCCAGGACCCATTCCGGGATTCCGACTCGGACAGTGTAGAGGAAACGCCCACGATCGAGTTCTCGCAGCGCGAGGACGTCGCAGCTAGGCTCTTCGGACGCCATGCTCGCGTTTTCCGCGTCGCCTTCTCCGCACTTCTATACCTGATATCGTGCGTTGCGTATACGACGATGACCACCTTCATCGGTTGGAGTACCATGACGGTCGGGCTGGATAGGTCCTCCGCGTACGCCTTCGAGAATATCTCCTCCGCGGCGACAGTCGGCACCATGATCCTCGTGGCCATGTCATCCTGCGTCTGGACGATCGCAAGGCGACTCATGGAGGAGAGCCAGAGGCTGCAGGATCACGGAATCGATTCTTTTGGAAGAAAGGTGCCGAGGTGGTGGAGGGAGCCGCGGACCGGGACACTCCTTCCTGCGCCGCCTCAGCAAATCCAGCGTCATGATTGGGCGCAATACCCCGCGCATCCAGTCTATATGGCGTTGGCATTCTTGCTGAGCGGCTTGTATGGTCCTGCATTGGGCCTGTCGCTGCTGTACGGAGGACGGAACGCGCCAGAGGGGATGCCGACTACGACGGACGCGCTGGCGTGGGGCGCATTCGGAATGGCATTCAGTCTCGCGCTGTTCGTTATGATGGCCATGATGACGACGGCTTTGAGCATCCTTAGGCAGAAGATTCGGTACCGGGTGTAGGGAGATGTAGGAGGCAGGGGGAGTCTGCAGGTAGTTTGGTTGAATGTGCGCCTGGAGTGGCAGAAAGCAGGGGCGGACTTACGTTTTGGAATACATGTTGTCAACATTTGCGTACTCAAAGGATCAGTGTTGCCCTCTGCGCGACTGGCCTCCAGGTCGTCGAACACGCCAGTGTTCGCCATATCTACTGTAAGCTTGAGACGCGCGTAAGCCAGCAGTAGCCTCCCAGTACCAGTACCAGTACTGGGCACAAGGAGACAAGAGTGAGATTTGGTAGAGTGGTCGATATGTTGTACGCTTGAACTGGCGGCGGCGAACTGCATGCTCGTGGCGTGACGGAATGTAAGAAGGGGGCCCGGAGGGATGGATCAATCGGGGTTGGGATCTGGCCGCCACAAGCGCGTCCAGAACGGCAGACCCGCTGCATGCAGATTCATGCAGCACACCGTACGCACATATCACGCGTGGCACGGACCCACTCACTCTGATCAATCGCTGCATTAGGTACTGTCTCACACAAACCAGAGTCCTCGTGCAGTGGGCACGATGTCTCCCGGGCCGAGTCGGTAGTACGGAGGTGTCACCAAGTGAGTACCTACCACTAATTGAATACCATAACTCCACAGCAAAGCCTTGTAATCACGGTGTAGGTGATCAGATTTCCAAGTGACGGCGCACGAGACAATAAGTGGTCGCGAGGGACACAGATGAGTACAAGCACTGACGCTGAGGCTCAGTCAAGGATGACAGCTTCGACTCGGGCGGTCACTGAGCGCTACGAGCTCATCAAAGTTATGTAACTGCGAACCCGACCAATTTCGGTGCGTCTTCTCTTGCCGTTGACGCGTTTGTCCACTGAGAAGGGCGACTTGGACTCTTCAAAGAGACCCCCAGGTACAATGCGATATACAACGGAGTCGGGTCCGGGACTCGTGGCTGTCCGAACCATCTCCGAGTCCCCTGGTGACTGTCGGTTGAACAACACAAAAAGCACTTACGTACGAAGAACAAGTGCGACGCAGACAAGAGTGCGGATGCATGGTACACAGCATTGATGCCGTGCATCCGTATATCAGAATCCAGCATGAGGCTGGAGATTCAGTACCTCGCCCTTTATCACTCAGTGAACACTACAGCTCTCCATACCTCACTCGAAATCGCATCGCAAGCCATGCCCGGACCCATCAGTCTGTCGGAAGACCCGTTGCGTACAGACCAGCCATCGCGCTCGGAGGGAGCATCGCAGCCGGAGGGGACGTCACACCAAGAGGGGACATCGCTCCCGGAACGCTCAGCGCGGCACCCACGTACAGAGCGGACCTCGCGTTCCGAGCGAGAGCGAGCACCACGCTCACACGGAGCATCGCGCCCCAAGCGAGCGCCGCGCCCACAGCGGACCAGCTCAACCGCTCTGCTCGAAAGAGGTGCGTCCATTGCAACATGCCTTCCCTGTTGTCTCTGACCGAGAGAGCGATAGAGCTTGACGCCCTTGAAGGGCGCACTACCGACGAGCCAACGTCGCGCCTCGAGAAGATCGGCCTCCTCTTCTCCAGCTACTTCTTCACTTGCGTCTTCTTCGCCGGTGTCTGCGCCGTATACGCCGGCATTTCCACCTACGCAGCGTGGTACTTCCTTCAGACCAACGAACCCTACACCAACAACTTCAACATCGTCTACGCCGGCCCGCTCGGCGCGGCGGTCCTCTCCTGGGCGTTCTCCACGACGATGTGGGTGTACCACAAGGTGGAGGCGTTTTACGAGAAGAAGCACGGGATATACGAGCCCCCGAGGGAGATCCCGGAGTGGTGGACGTGGCAGCGCGAGACATACGTGCCCCCGCCGCCGAAGCTCGCTCGCCGCTATGCAGGCTATGTCACTGCGGCGGGCACGATTTCGGGGCTCCTCGTGGGCGGTCTGCTTGGACCTTTGCTGGGGGCGATGATGCGGCGCGGGACGCTGACTAGCGCGATGAATGCGTCAGCAGAGTTGTGGTGCGGTGCTGTCGGTACAGGCATTGTCATTGGTGGTATACTCTTCGCCCTATCCGGTACGTATGGGATCTGGATGTGGTATGGGGGCAAGGAGGGTGAATGTTGAGGGTTTCCGATTGTGAGTGTCGATCTGCCTGCTCACGAGAAATGGCAAGAGATCTGAATGTCTCCAGATAGTTCTATTCACGATGGACATCATGGACACTTTTGTGTTGGGAAGAGTAGATTGACCACGGCGCATGTATCGGACTGGCGCGCCTCTATGACAAGTTCTCGAAACTGTTCCGTTAAACATGCACGTCAAGACCTATGCGGTCACATTCATCCTTGCAACGTCGAACAACCTCTGACTCCAGTGAGTCATTCTCGCACGCTTCGGCGTTCTTCTCATTCCGTGATACGCCCGAAAGAGCTCCGACGAGGGTCCCTCGCTCCACGGTGTTGCGCCGCTCAGTCGAGCGGGCAAGGCGCGGACCGCCAGAGCCTTCTGATACTATGATCAGCCGTGAAATTTATATCGACAAGTCAGCGATACGGCCGCCGCAATGTCTTAGATCTATTGGATGATTGAGACGAGGGGAACTTGTGACCGCTGGGTAGCCCAGAGCTGAACCTTAGCACGAGGTCTCGAGACGGCTTCAATGAGGCATCTCGAGACGTCCGACTTGAAAGTGCCGACTTAAGCTAGGCGTCATTGTGTTCGAAGTGTGAGTGGTTATTGCCGGTCACAATCCAAGTGCACGCCCTCACTCAGGTTCTTATAACGAGCAGACGCAGATGACCTCGCGGAGTGTCAAGCACAGTGAGGCTCGTATATGTCGAGTACAGCGAGTGTCATTGCGACTGATCCTCTCGGACATTGTGACTTCAAAAATTTGCCAAGGATATGACGAACGGGCATGCTCTGGCTGAAGATATCTGTTGCCAGACGACTGTCTGGTCCCAGATTATCCCCAGCGAGAGGGGCCTTTGGTCCCACTGCTTAGTTGGTTGTCTTTGACACCACACGCTGGTGAAATCGGGGACTCGCCGCGCGATGCCGCCGGCGACGGCGATGTTTGGTGGACAAGGCAGGATAGGCGTTGTTGCGTTGAACCATCGCACGAGGGTTGACAACCTTCGAACTTCTCGTCCACCGCTTCGAGGGAATCATGTATCCCCTCCCTGGGCGCACACCGGCCTGAAAGTTCTCATGCAGCCTCTTGGTGCAGCTGTAGACCGCAATGAGTATACAATAATCGGTCCGTTAAAGAATCAGACGCTCACCTAGATCCGTTCCTAGGCCAATTCTGGAACCCTGCACGTCTGCAACGATCTCCGACGTGTCCAGTTCGCAGGGCTGCGCACCATCTGTCGTGCACAGGTCGTCAGCGCGTTGCACGGCCGTTCGTGGACCGTGTGCCGCTTTAAAGCGGCCGTCGTGCTGGCCCGCTTCGACGGCTCGACGGGTTCGGCGAGCATCGGAGTCCGGAGGCTCGGACATGGCTGGTTAGGAGGAATGGTAACGACGCCGGATGAGAGTCCGGAGGGCGGCAACAGCGTTGAGGTGAGCAAGTGTCGAATCGTCTCATCATGAGGAAGAGGGTTTGTTGAGATCGTCGGTGTGCATTGGCACCCTTTATATATCATGGACCCTCGCAGCCTGTGGCGGTGACCTTGCTTCGACGCTTTGACCATGCCACATTGCCCCTGTTCTGTGGCCTGGCGCCGCGCGTGGCTCCGGGTCTCATTCGCTTTGGCCAAGCACTTTGTTCAGGTGATGGGATGCTTCTAGCACTGTGTCGCTTAGTACTCTTTTTGTCTGCTTACCTTGTTCCGTTGACAATGGGTCGGCTCCAATGGTCGTCCCCATCGAGCGAGGGATAAAGCGTTGTGGCCACCTGGTATGGCTATTATGAAGTGTGAGAAGTCGAATTTCAACGCGTTGTAGGCATCAGCTTAGGCAACCGTCTCCCGCTACTGACGGGATTCCGAATGGGAAAAGTGGTCACTGAAACAGGAAGTAAAAACGGAGCCTACCTGTTGATGTCTTCGACTGCTTCAAACAGTCAGTCGATGTAATGTACCATAGCAACGTAAGCACAGATCGCCGTCTCGCAGAACAACAATAGCTGTGCATGTGCCGCCACCAGTACGCAGTAATGTCAACTAGTGCCGCTTGGAGAAGGCAGTCATCTGGCAGCACATCTGCATTACAACGTCAACAACGATACATACATACCATATTCATCGCCTACTACATCGGAAACTTTTCGACACAGGGATGCCGCCCATATGATGCCGCCCTCAGATATAGATTGGCAGTGTCGGGTTCAAGCCCATCCAATCTATGCCCTCCACGAAGTCCTTCTGGTCAATCAAGAAGTCCTAAAATGATCTCAGTGCCTTGAAACACGCAATGCTCCGGATTCCGAATTTTGGACTCACAATGGGACATTCCACCAGGGCACCCCTCACTCGAGAGAGACGGTCCTTCAGATGTTCGAGTGACACCTCTGGGACGACATGTCCGGGCATGACCTTCGGCACATATTGCTTCGGTCGTAGTCAGCACTTCTAGGCCATACACGAATCAGGGGATGAACGTACAGCATATTCATCCCAGTTCTTAACCCAGTTCGTTGGCACAGTACGGAAGATCTCGGCAAAGATCGCGCGGTTTCGCCTTGCAGTCTCGTTCCACAGGCTCATGGTGAGATCCGCGAGAGGATCGGCGACAATCTTGTCTTCGCCCTCGTCGGTCTCGTCGTCGTTCGGGTGGGGCGCAGGGCGCATGAACGAAGTGACTTGCTCTTTGCCTGCGCAGTACTGTGGCGGCATGAGGCCGAGGTGCTCTGTCCGGTGATGTATGAAAGAAGCGAAGGAGCATTTTTAGGCTTAGACATACCTCTGTAGAGCTTCCTACGGAAGGTGGCGGCGAAGCGTGCCGCCATGTACGGTTTCCCGTCCATGGTGGTTTCAATCATGTCCTCGTCTTCAATCACTAAGGCGATTTCGGAATCACCATTGCCCTGCACAAGACCGTCAGTGCGCATTCCGCTCCAATCGATATGGCCTTACCTTCATACTCCGATCATTAATATTCGCAGAACCCATCTAGTCGTAACCATCAGCTAGTCACTTATCAGAGTTGTCGACAGCACATACGACGACTCTCCGGTCATCCACGATCATGACCTTCGAATGAATGTACACGAGGTCAGACACATACGCAGCCTTCTCTTCCTCAGGCGTGCCCAACCATCCCTCCTCGTTCAGGTTCGTCCGGTCCTCCATGACATGCTGGACGACGTTGTCGGAGATATCTCCACCTTCTCGGAGGCTGACCGCAGCGCGGTGCCATTGGTCGACGATCTCTTGTGCCTCCTCGTACGTCTGTGGTAGCGCGTACGTCTCGGTCTTGAGCTCGGGTTGCTGCCCGGACGCACTCGGCTGGTCGACGATCTTACCCGTTGGGAGGACGACAGTAGTTTCTTTAGGTGCGTTGGCTTCCTCGTCCCTTCCAACCCAGAGACGGGCGAGAGCCGTCATGGCCTGGTGGAACTTGATGCCGCTACGTTCTTCGATGACTTTCATGAAGGATTCTACGAGCCAGTTGAGTAAGGCGATATAATCCAGATAGATAGACTCCTACCGTACGGAGCGTTGATGCGATCGTAGGTTCGCAGGTGGTAGAATCGAATATAATCCATTCTAGCACACCGTGTGAGAAGGTTCAGACTGGTGGAACATCAACAACTCACGGCTCATATCCTGCCTTGCTGATCTCCTCATAGATGCTATGACCTCCACGATTCATGGTACGATATTGAGCGGCCATAATAGTCCTGATGGACGTCTCGTCCTTGACTGGACAAGCACATCAGACTGGGTTGAGGCATGGGGTGCACGACGGGTGTTACCTGGTCCTGCAAAGCCAGGAACTTCGGGAATCACTATGACCACCTATCGCCAGGACAGTTGTGAGAAATCTAGATCGTCATGGTAGATAGCGCGATGAGCGCTGACCTTGAACTTCTGGTTGCTTCGAGCTGCTAGGAGGATTCGTTCAACGAGTGCGGCTGCGATTTGGTTCTTCACGGGATCGTCTTTCTGCTGTGTACTCGAAATGCTGCAAGAGTTCAGACAGACGAACAAGAGGTCATGATATGGGTATAGGCACTCACAAGAACTGGTTCTCTACGTTGTGAGGAGATTGAGGTGAGTCGAAATATCACGCATCCAAGCCACTTACCAATATATATGAAATGGTTCGCCTCCATGATCAATTGACAGTCTAAAAGGACTTAGTCAATATGGCGCATTCTCGATGGTTAATACACTCTTACAAGCGTTCTGGACACTGTGCTCTGTCAGCACACCGTTACTCCAGTCGCTGACGCTGCGCACTGCCTGTACGCGGCACGTCCCGTTCGGCGGTCGCGGATACAACTCCGGATCGTCGAGGTCGTCGAACTGCCGCGCAGTGAGGTGTTCACCATGGAATCGTTGACGGAAATGCCGGCCTATCTGGTGCCACTTTTCGCGGTAAGGATGGACTATGGGATGTTCAAGATTAGGTGATGGGATAAGGGACAGGACACGTCGGAAACTTACGCACGACAGCTTCGTCGGGAGCTGCTTCGACATCATGCGGGAGTGCGAGCCAATCGTAATGTCTAACATCACGATGCGTGAGCTTCTGATGATTGTAGTGATGCAGAATGTCTTCCACCCACGTATCATGACTGTACTGTGAGACTCATTAGCCCTTGATCACAACCTGCCTTGCAAGGAGGATACACACCTTCCTTCGCTTGATTTCATTCCAGCGCTCCATGAAGTGCTGTACCAAATCAAGTACCGACGGCCCGCAGATCGTCAAATGGACCTTTATGCGATGTGTTGAGTATCAGGTACCACTTGGAGAGAGCTACATAGCCACATACATCGTGCCACGGCATCCGCGCAGACTCGAGCACGCTCAGGCCATTGCTCACATAGTTCTGAACGTCCTTGAAGTCCATGATACGCGCGTTGTTGTAGTCCTGCCCCGGGAAAAGCGTGCGCGTCAGGTCTGTAGGGTGCACATCCCCGAGCGGGTGCATGTGCGTGTCCCAGCGCCCGAAGCTGAGATCGAGCCCGCCAACGCCTGCGCGGTGGTTGTCTACTATCACGAGCTGTGTGGATGGTAAGGAAAGGACTTCGTAGAGTATGGAAGGAGACAGACCTTTTCGTGGTGCGACCAGAACTCGACGTCGTCTGGGAAACATCAGTACAGGCGATAGAAATGACTGTATGTGTTTCACACCTTTACTCCCGATGTGATCGGGGTGACGCATGCACGCAATGTTAGGGTGCAGCGCTTCAAGAGCGTGCTACCAAAGCGATTCAATTTCGGCGACGGGAAGCGACACCGAACTGCTTACCTTAGTATGAGACGAATCCATGGACATTTCTTGAGTGACTTCCTTGTATACGACGACATAGATCCGGACGCCCTCTTCCGCCTTGCGTTTCAGCAGGCGGTCCAAGCGCCATTCCTGATTGAAAGCGGGCGGGCGGCGCAAGTACACTTCGGGAGTCAACCACCAATCCTGAGGTACGATCGTGAACCGTTGAACAAGACGAGGCAGAGAATATCACACACCAAGATGAAGATGCACTCGCGGGCACTATCCAAGACTTCTGAAACGGCATAGAAGTAATCATGTCCGTCGATGTGCCTGTCAAGAATGTCAAGGTCACAAGCGTGTAAGCGACGACGGGGCCCACCATTTTACAGCATTGGATGGACGCTGCTCTGCGAAGGACTGGAAACGGTGGCCGTCATTGATTTCGGTCCGTAGCGCATCAATACGCTTCTCTTCTGGGGTATCATGCCGACCTGTAAGGAGTATTACGAGAAGACATCACTCGACACAAGGAAAGACACACGGTTCGGATTCAAAACCCCTACGCATGATGACACACATCGCTATAAGCTTGTCACAGGACCAATGAAGCAGTAGGGTACGCACCATCGATGGTGTCCCAAGCGCCTTCGATGCCCTTGGGGATATCCTTCTCAATCTCTTCAACGGCGTGCTCGAGTTCCGCAAACATGGCTGTAGCAAAGGGTATATCTAGCCTCCGATGAACCCGCAGCCGTTATTTATATGCAAATAGCACGCGCCCATCAGCGCTCCCAACACAAACTTTGAGGAAACGTAACTACGGATACGGTGGGAGTAACCGGACATACTGCGCCGCCCGCGACAGGCACTGCCAACGAGATGTACACTGCAGACGCTGCCATGGAGCTCGCCACCGGTGTTCTATCCTTCGCTTGATGGATGGAAGCTCCACAACGGCGTAAGTACTTGCAGTTACAAGCTTAAATGAGCCGCACCTAATACTGCGCCGACCAACTATCGGCGGACCTCGGGGGGCACCCCCAAGCCGATGCAAAGCTTAGCAGGGCGACCCAAACGACAGCGTTTGATCCTGGGACTAGGTCAGGATCTGTTGCCCCTCGGTCGCACGAGGACCTTGCTGTGCGGCAAACGCGAGGCAAACGCAATGTCCAAACATAGCTATAAGCGTCTGTTCTGACATGGACGCTCGGGCTCAACTCGGGCTCGTGGAGGAGGAGGAGGGCGTCTGGGATTTGTCTGGGGTGGAATCTCTCACACTTCGCGCTCGCTGCGATGGCTTGCGCTATGTACTGTGAAGTATTGGAAACGGAGGTTACCTTCTCGTTCGTCGACGTCATTAAACTCCGCCAGTCACTCACCTGTACGATTTTGCATAGCCAGAAACACTGTGGTCGTGGAGTATGACCAATGCATGGTGCGCAAGTGAGTCACAGTGAGTACTGTTCCAAGGCTGCGTATGAACTTACAGATTGAAGGGATTCTCATTTGAGAGTATAAGTAGTGCCGTGGCACCAGTGGATGACACCGTGACGGCTACCGCGTTTCGCATTGACAAGCCCGGCACAATAGTAATATTGAACACCAAAGGAGGGAACCGCGGTGGCAGGGTACAACGTCGCGGAATGACTAGTACTGTGAACGTCCTGCAGCAACGTTCAGTCTGACTTGAACGTGGTCGCGAGGAGGAGGAGGAGTGCATACGGACGTCACGTGCACATCTATTCTTGGCAGCGCTTCAGCGCTTAACGCGTTTGGCGAGGAGGAGGACAAGCTCAACGTGCAACGTTCAACCATTACGACGCAACTTGCTGAACAACTAAGTACTACAGCAAGTAGAATATTCTCAAACGAGCGGATCTGTGTAAGTCGATATGTACACAACTTCCAGCTGGTTCGCGCTCATGAGATCCTTTCGACGTGATCGTCAGTTCTTCCCACTGTTCCAGTGGACTTCGGAATCATTGTCAACTAGTCTCTACATCGTCGAATCGCTCAATGCCGTGATCTTCCCTTACGCCACGGTTAACTCAAGGCTATCAACTTCACGCACTTTGTGACTGCGCCGGTCCTTTGAGATGAAATCAAGGTACGCATGTTCCATGGTTTCGCATACTACATATAATCATACTCACGGTCCATTGTTGCACTTCGTACGAGTCCATTGGAGATCGTCCCTGGCTCCCTCCGCATTCAGAACATAGCACGACCACAAACTCGCCAAGCGACATTCACCAGTCCCATGTAACGTGCATCACCGCCACGCCGATCAGCAGAATAGCAAAGACCACCCCGGTCCCGACGCCACCGCATATCATCGCTTGCACCAAAGTCAGCGTGCCATCCATGACACCGTGCTGGATCAATATCGCTGTTCCCACTACAGGTCCGAGCAGCCCGGACGTGAGCAGGCCTGCCACGACGCTGTGGAAGAAGACTGTGGATCCGTAGCGGCAGGCGAGCTCCGGTGGTGGGGGGTCATTCGTCTCCGTCTCGTGCTGCCATCGGTATCGTCGGCTTGGCTCCTGGTATATGCCGTAAGCAGCTTCGTATAACTCCTCTAGCCGATAGAATCCCCAGTGGACAGTGGTGAACCCGACCGAGAGGATGGATCCGCCGAGGGCACCCAGGAAGATCACGTTGGCGTCGCCCGCGTACGGCTCTTCAGGGATGAATGCCAACGGGACCAGACCCAAGAATGTCGATGCGCCAGCGTACGCAGCGAACACTGCAGCATAGAAGATACACTGCAGCGTGTAGTCGACGAGGAGTGTCATGGCCTTCTTGCTGTGCACGCTTGGTATTTGTGGCGCTGTGAAGTGGAGGCTGGGCCATTTCTGGAGGAACACATTCGATAGGCTTGTCCACTTTGAGGGCTGCTGCATTGAATGGCCGCCGATCGCTCCCTCGACGAGCGTGTCCGTCGATCCTGTCTCGCACGACTCGAGCAGGTATGTGGCGTCTTCATTGTCCTGGTGGGATTGTTGATAATAGGTGTCGACGCTACCAGACGCTAGACTCGGATGCGGCAGAAGGATGCCTATCATGGCCTGCAAGGTGGACTCGGGATCGAGGGCAAGTGCTCTTGGCTCTGTGGAGTGGATGCAGAAGAGGTGATGGGCTAGTAACGCTCGCCTAGCATTCTTTTTATCGTTGAGCGGCGAGAAGGCTGTGTCCAGTCTGTCACTGCAATTGGAACGCGTACTCAGGCTCGAGCTCTTGTTCTGCCAGAGCTTCTATGTGGCGTAGCCTGCGGTTTCCAGGACAGCCATTGCTTTCAGCTGCGGCTGTTCTGCGACCATATATCGCGCTTTGGCCTGCGCTGTTCTTTCATGGCAAAGCGAGGCTGGCCCGCGCGCACTGCTTCAGCCTCGTCCTCGAGTACTGTCGCACCGCCACGCGAAACCTGGCTGTCCGTCCCACGTGTCTACCGCATGCCTTCTATGACTGTTGCCGCTGCATCGGGTCTCGAGGGCGATGCGCCATGCGCCACGCGTATGGGAACTTCGTGTCGCTACTTTGTTACCTGAAATTGCTTTATCGGGAGCCGTTGCCGAGCCACCGCTAGCTGACTATACTGGAACCTGAGCACCGAGTTGCTTTGTTTTGAATTTCAAGCCGTCCAAAGCGCCTCAACGTGAGTGAACCCCGATACAAATATTATGCTGACGACGGCGGCTAATTTCTTCGCGAGGACAGCTGCCACTCGTGCATGCTCTATACACCGATCCCAATCATGTCGCAAACGATGAACGAGGATCTGTCTGTAGGCATCGATATCGCGCCGTCGCGGGACTCGGTCACTGAGGATCTATGCTTGTCTGCGACCACCGTATTGTCTCTTTGAAGGTATGTACATATCACAATAGAAGTCCATCATTGTCCTACACGAATCCCCTCCGCATCCCGGGACTACAAGACTATATACCGGTGCCCCGATTCCAACAACAACCTCTGTCTTGCACAGGATATGCCGAAAAGTGCGACAGCAGCCACGACCCCAGTACCAGCGGCGCCGCATCTCAGAGCATGCAGTGCCGTCATCGTGCTATCCATCAAGCCGTGCTGGATGATTATCGTTGCTCCCACCCAAGGTCCGAGCAGCCCGGCGACAAGCAGACCCAAAACAAAGCATGCCTTCGCTACAGACCACGCATGACGGCCCGCGAGTTCTGGCTGCGGAGGCATGTCCGTCTCGCATTGCCACGTCCGCGGATCCTGAAGGTCCGGTTGCTTGTATATCCCGTGGGCCTTCTCGTACCACGCCTCCAGCTCTCTGTACGCCATAAGCGTCGTGGAGAACGCCACGGAGACGATGGCCCCGCCGAGCGCGCCAGCGTAAACGACGTTGTCGGTGAAGTTGCTGGCGTAGGGTTCCTGATCCGAGAGAAGCCATCCTCCCAGCCAAGTGCAGGTGCCAGCGAAAACGGCGGAGACGGTCGCGAAGAAGACGGCGGCGCAGTAATAGTTGAAGGTGAATATCACAATCTTCTTCAACCACGTCGTGGGCCTTTCCGTGTGCCCCACGGGGATGACAGTTCCTACTAGATTGACCTTTAGGACGATGTGTGAAGGACTGGTGGCGATGCAAGACTCACCGTCGTTCTCTGTGCCCGATATCGGTTCCGTGTGCGATTCCTCCTTTGAGGTAGCGGCGTCCGACTCCAACTTGAAGAAAGGAGTGGCGTCTTTCGCGGCCCCTTCGAGATCAAACTGGGGCAAGCGAGTGTACCCAGAGTGCAACGTCAGGAAAGGAAGACGGAAGAAGGCCATGGCTTGCACGGAGCGGTAGGAGGCCACTGAGATATGGGAATGTACTGGATGGAACTGTAGTGTGCGGAGGTGGGTGAATCGTATTCGATGCCCTGCTCTCATTTATAACCAAAGGACGAGAAGGCTATGTTCAATCTGCTATCGTAAGCATGTATCCTGCCTGCAATTGTCTCGGTGTCAGTGAAGTTTGGAAGCTTGAGGCATAGCTTGCGGTTGCCACGGCTGAGGCCTGAGGTATTGAGGCTGAAGCTTCCACACAATACCAACGAAGCTGCATTGCATCTCCTATCTGACGGGCAATTGTGGCGCAAACACCGTGTACTACTGCAGGCTATGGCCAAATCGTATTCCGCCGCGCGATCTGCTCTGCCTTGTTGTACTTGAACCGTATCGGCCGAGGACTCGTGGGCCGTAGTCAAGTGCAATTGTAACAACAGGTTGGGTCAAAGTGCCACACTGGCAACAAGCGAAGGCCCTGTACGAGTATCCGTATACCTAGTATTGTCAGTGACTTCGCACACAGCCTCCGCCTATGCCAGTGAGCGACTCCGACAGAGCCATCCTATCGTGAGCTGCCCGCGTCGCACACGCCTACAGTCCACTTGGCGTCGTGTGTAGGAGGTCGTTTGAACGATTATTGTCGCCTTCACGCTTCAGTACGATGGCCATAGACGCTGAATATGAGCAGATGTACTATCGCTGAGCGAGGCGTACTCTCAGTGTCCCTAAGAACGGAGTCGCCGGTTTCGTCACGATATTTATCCGTGCCTCGCTGAGCGACGAAGCATGAATGCAACCAAGGAGGTCTCTCGCCACATGTGAAACTCATGACCATAGATAAATTGACGGAGGCGCACTATGTAGGTCTGTACTAGGTAGCTATCATAGGTACGGCCCACTGTTCTTGGCTATACAAGTCCATAACCACTTGGGTATCCTCTCCCCATCTCGCGGGCGCGCATAGACCCAGCAGTAGACCAAACCTCAACACGTATCAACACTCGGCGTCCCTTCCCCCATTACAGAGCTTCATCCCATAGGTACAGGACAGGCAGACGAGTATACCGCCAATGACAAGCCCTGTACCGGCCGCGCCACATCCCAGCGCCGCAGACGCAGTCATCGCGCTAGTCACGATACCTCGCCGTATGACCGTTCCGAACACAGGTCCCACGAGCCCGCCCATAAGCAACCCGGAGATCGTACAAAAAGCGGTGACGGAGCCCGCGTAACGGCGGGCGAGCTTTGGTGGCGGAGGCACGTACGTCTCGCGCTGCCACGTCCACCACTCCGGGAGCTCGCTCGGGGGCTCGTATATCCCATGGGCCTTCTCGTATATCTCCTCGAGCTCGGCGTAACACCACATGACAGTGGTAAACATCAAGGACAGGATGGTCGCGCCAAGCATGCCGGCGTAGACGATGTTGAAGTTGCTGGTATAGGGTTCGTTCGTCTGGAGGAAGTACCAGCTCGCGTAGGTGGAGGCGCTGGCGTATACGGTGCAGGCTGCGGCGAAGAGAATGCAGGAGAAGATGTAACTGGAGACCAGTTTGCCGATCTTCTCGAGGCGCGTCGACGGCTCTTCGGGAATGCGCCCTTCAAGGGCGTCCAGCTCTGCCCCTCCCTCGTCAGAGGCAACGGGAAAAGGGACGATAAAGACCATCTACACACCTCTTTCGAGCTGAGCGGTCAAGCCGGTCCGTTGTGTACGCCGTATCCGGTTCGAGTGCGATGCTCTGTGCGAACGTGAGGCGCGCTCCGACCGGGACGTTCTCTTCGTGTGCGATGTCGGTTCCACGTCGATCGTCTGCTCTGAGCTAGCGTTGTCCGGCTCCAACAGTGGAGTGGCGTCCTCTGCCGTTTCGAGATCGGACTGGGGCAAGCGAGCATATCCAGTGTGCGACGTCAGGAATGGGAGATGGAGGGCCATGGCTTGCATGGAGGGGTCGAGGGTCGCCGATCTGACCGGACTGGATGCCAGTGGAGCTGCGGTGTCCGGAGGTGAGTGACCAGTATTCTTCCCTATCCCCGTTTTATGGTAAACGTACGGGAAGTCCATGTTCAGTCTGTTGATGTAGAGTCAAGCATGTATCCTGCCTATTGTTTCGATGCCAGTAGAATACCATAAGCATAGCTCGCGGTTGCCAGGTCAATAATTGTGAGGCTGAAGCTACCACAGAATCAGGCTGTGACCTCTGGGAGATGTCACTACGGCGCTTTGTAGTGACACAAATGTTTTGCCCTATTACTATGACTAAATCGTCCTGTGCGATATGCGGCTTCACATGTTGTGAAGTGCCAGTAAGGATGTCGCCTTCCGGGCACAACGCGGAGTTCAGCAGAAGTAATTTCTGAGGAGGAGGGTCCAACTTGATGAGACGCGACGCGACACACTCAGCAACGCGACGAGGAGGAGGAGGAGGAGATTCCCGACACACGCGTATTGGTCATCGGGCGGAGATCTAAGCGCCGGGATTGAGCGCGCAGCGCTGACGGCGGAAAGCTCGACGACCTGCCGCTGTCCTTCATGCCAGTCACGGTGGCAGCCGTGTGCAGGACGAGACGAAACTACATAGGCTGCCCTCCAAGAACCACCTTTCGCCCTGTGTTGATGTCTTTGGTCACGCTGGAGCCAAGTCCCTCCGGATCCTTGACCAACGGCCCATGAAACATCGTGTACGCCCTTTTTGTACAGTACGCGAACCTTTCCATTGTTCATCATACGTTGCCCAGCAATTCCACACTACACGCCCACGTAGCGCGCTATTGTTGATATCCAGTTGTATCACCAAGAGGCTCCGACGTAGCTGTGATGGTCCTCTTTGTTGGCCGCGCCGCGAATGGCTGTACTGCTGGTACGTACCTTCTCTGTCTGGCTTCTCAGCCTGTGCTGCAGCATAATGAAGTCTTTCCATCCTCTTCGTACTTCATGAACATCTCCGTGTGCGCGCAACTGGGGGCAAGCATGTTCTCGTCCGATCGTGCACTTCTCTCTTGCGAGAAGGGCTGAGTCTAATCCCAAGATGACGCAGTTGCTCTCCCATCTGAGAATGCGCATATGTCCTTCACTTTCGCAGCGAGAGCGCCGCACTGCATCGATATCTCCTGCTCCGGAGCGTTGAATGGGCAAATCTTTCGCTGATATCAGTTGCGCTGACACTCTTCTGGAAGACCTCGGCCCATGGCGTGCCCTCCTTCAGGCATCCTTCCTCTCCCGCGTTGAGCAACTAGAGAACGACGAGTACTTCAGTGAGCTCCGGGAAAACCTGATAACGGAGGTTCCCGCGCACGACTATATGCGCCTCCGGGACACCGTAGAACTCACAAAAAGCCGGGAACTGGTGCGAGAATGCCACAAGCGCGTACGGCGGTGCGATGGACTATGGCCTGGCTGCGCTCATCAAATCCTGTGCGTTTGCCGCCGCCTCCCGTTTATGCAGCAACCAGAATCAAGTGCGTAAGCACGGAGTAGGCGAAGTTGTCCCCAAGCGGCCGCCGCAGAATGAGTCAAACTCTTTGATCTTTCCTCCCCGGTGCGCACCACGTCGCCCACCGTCATGGCGTAAAGAAAGCTGACGTCGAATACATTGAAGACGGCGATACCGAGGACGCCTTTCACTTGATCGCCGCTTTTACGACTGTAGCGAGAGGCCGGCATACTGCAAAACGTGTCAGATGTAGCTGTGGCAGATATCATAGTATGTAGCAATAGTCAAGGAGTCAGCCGGGTCTCGGACGACATAAATTATCCCGCCTCAGGCGTGGCCACTAGGACATTCTCAAGGAGCAAAATGTTCTTGCGTGGCTTCGCCATGTACGCCAGGGCCAACCTTGGATATCCCCGCCCTCCTCGATCAGAGTGCGACTGAACATAGGCGAGGATACACCATCGTAGTAGCGAGTTCGCACTGGCTCCTGGACGTCGCCACTCGCTTCGTTCAAGCAGAGGACAAAGCTGATCTGACCCAAGTACGTCTGGATTGTCGTACACGCATGCTCCGCCACTAGGAACAGCTCACGCGTCGCTTTGAGCAGATCACGTAACAGCGGGAGAAACACTCGGCCTGGGTCAAGATGTGTTCTCTCGTGTGTACAGCCAGAAGTTTTCGGAAGAGACACGGCGGGACCGACGTATTTTGACGAGTCAGTGGTGATAACGTCGTAGGACACGCATTCTCTTTCCAAGATGTAAAGTGGCCGCTGATATGGACACAGAGATCAGAAACGACCGCGAACGCGTGAAGGAGATATTCCCTGAAAACTCGCATGACGACCTGACGTGTCAGTCATGGCTGTACTATACGGACTATCTGCGCAGAGCTCTGTCAACGTTCTCGATTGTGTCGTCCTTGAAGACTGCGCACGTCTCCATCGTCTCCATCGATCACGAGGCTCCTTTGCGAGTCAGAATGACTCGCGAGTAGAAGGTGAGCGACCATATCCTGCTAACTGTGGTTCACTTTTCTCATAGGCCACAGATTCCAAGACGAGGACGTATCCGCATGGCCAGAGACCTGATCTGCTGGTGCCACTGAGAACGCGTGGGTAAGTCCACCGATTCAAAAAGAAACCCGAGTGCGAAGCTAACAATGTCACTTAGCTGTGTGGGCAGGGGCATTTTCGAGGCGATGTGGCAACGTGTGGCAATGCGGTCATTGTTGTCATACAGGGGTCTTCACTACCGCTGACTTGGCTTGAACGGGTCCAAGCGAAACTCAAAGCGGACCAAGCCGCATACTTCGCGCGTCAGAAGTATAAATACCCAGGTCGATTTTCCGGGTCCTCAGTATCTCTCCGTCCAGGCCACTGAGTTCTTGCCATGAATCACTCTGAACGCCTTATCGCTCGCATCTCGCTACCATTCCTCCTAACCACAAGTGCCATCCCATACATCGCTTCGGTACAGATCCGCAGGGGAGTCACTGACGCTCTCAGCCAAGAAGCGCAGGGAATCGAAGCATCCCCCCGTAAGGCTCTCTGCGGTACGTTCCTTCTAGCACTCCTTCATACACTAACATGTTGTACTGATGTCCGCAAGATAGTGTCGGCCTATCGCTGACACACTCACATCCGACGCCCTCCACGATGCAGACAAAGACCCTCGTGGGTTTCGGCGAAGTGACTCTTGCTCGCGCCACATGCCTCCTGGGTCCCAACCTCAGTGATGTTCGCATCGTACCGCGAGCTGTGTAAGGCGATTCCGTGCTGTTCAGCCCATACCGTACGTAGCCATCTGTCCGTCTTTTTACGGGTGTTCTGATCGCTATCTCAGAACGATTACTATCCTCGTAGTTGATCTATCCGGCGAGCAGCAGAGGACGTGGACGATGCCCGCGGCAAGTGGTCGGACAGCTAGCCAGCCGGGCTCGCAACGTCTCTGGAGGGCCACCTCTCTGGGCTACCTCCCTGAAATGCGCGATCATCGAAATTACACGAAGGCTCATCAGCGCGGATGCCTATCCTCCGCTGGGAATGTCTATCACGTCGGGGCAGTCGCCCTGTACGGCGAGCGGTCTCAGCCGAGTAGACTTGGGTTTCGGAAAATCAAGTAACATACCATTATTGGGAGCTGGTACAAGCAAGACATGTCAATTTTGTGTATTCTTATGCGAACGGATACTCAAGCTGGCGTGCCAAGAGTAGATTCGAACTCGTAAACTTGGTCTTCAGTTCGGGCTCGATCCGACGCACCCTCCGAAGTCATCTTGTGGGTGACTAGGAAGGTTGAGACTAATCATCAGGTTTGCCTTGCAGTTGCTCAATTGCTGCTGCTTGCCATGGCTTAGCTAGGGTAGGTGCGATACAGTTGCGGCAAAGAAGGGATCATCAATGCCTTCAAGCGAGAACGATGTGAATCCATATGTACATTTGCGAGCCGTTCAGTCTGTCCGTTTCGTAAGCAAGGTATGTACACGTTCAAGCATATGAATAAAAACACAGTGCATGATGTCTATCGTGAACAGAACTGCCCGGAGACCTTCAGATCTCTTGCCATCTCTCGGGAACAGGCAGATAGAGACTCACAATCGGAAACCCCTTTCAACATTCACCCTCCTTGCCCCCGTACCACATCCAGATCCCATACGTACCGGACAGGGCGAAGAGTATACCACCAATGACAATGCCCGTACCGACAGCACCGCACCACGACTCTGCCGACGCACTCATCGCGCTAGTCAACGTCGCCCGCCGCATCATCGCTCCCAGCAAAGGTCCAAGCAGACCGCCCAGGAGGAGTCCCGAGATCGTGCCTGCCGCAGTCACATAGCCCGCATAGCGGCGGGCGAGCTTCGGCGGCGGGGGGACGTACGTCTCGCGCTGCCACGTCCACCACTCCGGGATCTCCTTCGGAGGCTCGTATATCCCGTGTTTCTTCTCGTACAACGCCTCTAGCTTGTGGTACACCCACATCGTCGTGGAGAACACCCAGGAGAGGACCGTCGCGCCGAGCGGAGCGGCGTAGACGATGTTGAAGTTGCTGGTGTAGGGTTCGTTGGTCTGGAGGAAGTACCACGCCGCGTAGGTGGAAATGCCGGCGTATACGGCGCAGACACCGGCGAAGAAAAGGCAGGTGAAGAAGTAGCTGGAGAAGAGGAGGCCGATCTTCTCGAGGCGCGACGTTGGCTCGTCGGCAGTACGCCCTTCAAGGGCGTCAAGCTCTATCGCACTCTCGGTTAGAGACAACGGGGAAAAGAATGACGATGGCACTGGACGCACCTCTTTCGAGCAGAGCGGTTGAGCTGGTCCGCTGTGGGCGCGGCGCTCGTTTGGGACGCGATGCTCCGTGTGAGCGTGGTGCTCGCTCTCGCCCGGAACGCGACGTTCGCTCTGTACGTGGGTGCCGCGCTGAGGTTTCCGGGAGCGATGTCCCGTCTTGGTGCGACGTTCCCTCCGGCTGCGATGCTCCCTCCGAGCGCGATGGCTGTTCTCCACGCAACGGGTCTTCCGACAGACTGATGGGTCCGGGCATGGCTTGCGGTGCGATTTCGAGTGGAGGTATGGAGAGCTGTAGTGTTCACTGAGTGATAAAGGGCGAGGTACTGAATCTCCAGCCTCATGCTGGATTCTGATATACGGATGCACGGCATCAATGCTGTGTACCATGCATCCGCACTCTTGTCTGCGTCGCACTTGTTCTTCGTACGTAAGTGCTTTTTGTGTTGTTCAACCGACAGTCACCAGGGGACTCGGAGATGGTTCGGACAGCCACGAGTCCCGGACCCGACTCCGTTGTATATCGCATTGTACCTGGGGGTCTCTTTGAAGAGTCCAAGTCGCCCTTCTCAGTGGACAAACGCGTCAACGGCAAGAGAAGACGCACCGAAATTGGTCGGGTTCGCAGTTACATAACTTTGATGAGCTCGTAGCGCTCAGTGACCGCCCGAGTCGAAGCTGTCATCCTTGACTGAGCCTCAGCGTCAGTGCTTGTACTCATCTGTGTCCCTCGCGACCACTTATTGTCTCGTGCGCCGTCACTTGGAAATCTGATCACCTACACCGTGATTACAAGGCTTTGTTGTGGAGTTATGGTATTCAATTAGTGGTAGGTACTCACTTGGTAGTAGACACCTCCGTACTACTAGCCGACTCAGCCCGGGAGACATCGTGCCCATTGCACGAGGACTATGGTTTGTGTGAGACGGTACCTAGTGCAGCGATTGATCAGAGTGAGGGGGTCCGTGCCACGCGTGATGTGTGCGTACGGTGTGCTGCATGACAGAATCTGCATGCAGCGGGTCTGCCGTTCTGGACGCGCTCGTGGCGGCGAGATCTCAAACCCGATTGAACCATCCGTCACGCCACGAACATGAAGTTCGTCGCCGCCAGTTCAAGCGTACAACATATCGACCACTCTACCAAATTGCATTCTTGTCTCCTTGTTCCCGGTACTGGTACTGGTACTGGGAGGTTTCTGCTGGCTTACGCGCGTCTCAAGCTTACTACAGTAGAGATGGGAACTCTGGCGTGTTCGACGACCTGGAGGCCAGTCGCGCAGAGGGCTTCACCAACAAGGCTGATCCTTTGAGTACGCAAATGTTGACAACATGTATTCCAAAACGTAAGTCCGCCCCTGCTTTCTGCCACTCCAGGCGCACATTCAACCAAACTACCTGCAGACTCCCACTGCCTCCTACATCTCCCTACACCCGGTACCGAATCTTCTGCCTAAGGATGCTCAAAGCCGTCGTCATCATGGCCATCATAACGAACAGCGCGAGACTGAATGCCATTCCGAATGCGCCCCACGCCAGCGCGTCCGTCGTAGTCGGCATCCCCTCTGGCGCGTTCCGTCCTCCGTACAGCAGCGACAGGCCCAATGCAGGACCATACAAGCCGCTCAGCAAGAATGCCAACGCCATATAGACTGGATGCGCGGGGTATTGCGCCCAATCATGACGCTGGATCTGCCGAGGCGACGCAGGAAGGAGTGTCCCGGTCCGCGGCTCCCTCCACCACCTCGGCACCTTTCTTCCGAAGGGATCGATTCCGTGATCCTGCAGCCTCTGGCTCTCCTTCACGAGTAGCCTTGCGATCATCCAGACGTAGAGTGACATGACCGCGAGGATGATGGTGCCGGCTGTGGCCGCGGAGAAGATCTCGAAGACGCACGCGGAGGACTCGTGTGGCTCGACCATGACGGTCATGGTCCTCCAGCCGATGAAGGTAGTCATCGACGTATACGCAACGCACAGTACGAGGTATAGAAATCCGGAGAAGGCGCCGTGGGCAATGCGAGCATGCCGTCCGAAGAGTCTAGCTGCGACGGGCTCGCGCTGACAGGACTCCGTCGCGGGTGTTTCTTCTCCACTGTCCGAGTCGGACTCCCGCAATGGGTCCTGGACGTGGTATGTTCCGCGACGCGGGCATGAGCAGGCCTCGTTGAATGGGTCTGCTGGGTGGGCCTCGTGGATCGGGCATGAGCGGGCCTCGTTCAACGAATCCGACTCGATGCTATCGAACGACGGGGTTGCGTATGACCCATCTGGTATGTTAACTTCGACTGGGATTGAAGTTGTCAGAGACAATAGTGCGTGTTATATAGTCCTCGTACCTATGGTGTAGTCTGGCGGTGCGACGACATCGGGGTGCTGGTTGACTTCGGCCATGACTTGCGATGCAGCGGCCGGTCTAGGGTCGGCGTCGTGGATGGCGAAGAAAGTTGCGTTGTGATGTCTCGGCAGCTGAATGCGAACCTCCATACTTATGTTGGATGTGACGCGCGGGCGGTTTCTCGATACGCGTCTCCCATGGAGCAGTGCAGTGCGCGTTGTTTAATGGTTGACCACTTGTCAGCAGGACAGGCTACGTAACTGAGAATACAAGGCACACGGAAGCTCGTTGCTGTACTCCTTCCAGCAGGTACCGTGTACGTAGCTGTACGTAGCCGCCTGTTTCGAATTCGTTCGGCACAAATACACTGCCGCTGTCAGCCTGAGCCGGACACCATCGTCCTTGTACTTGCGTACCCTTTGTTGTTGAGAGTACAGCATCCTGGCGACGAAACGCCTTGATGTAAACATGCTTCGATGCCTTGCTGTCTCCGGACTTACATATCTCCATATAGCGCAAAGGCCCTCGTCTATTGATAGTGCAATGCCTCAGCGGAGAACAGGTTAAGTTCGAGTTTGTTGTCTGACCTCTTCCATGGCATCGCCTTGGCCGGCTTCGGCCACAAATCAGCCTCGTCAGCGCCACAAATGATGACTGCGTACCTTCCCGGACCTCCCAAAGACTTCCTGCGTGTACGAGAATGAGCACGAGAAGTACGTTGCAGCCTATATGGTCTCTCGCAGGAGCACTCTCCCGGGAGACGACTTCTCATGCACCGCGTAACAGCGTTCTGGTACAGCCTACAGCTGTGCTCGCTTCAGCCTGGAGATAAGTTGCTTCCGAACACTCAGTATTTGTTCAGTCCCTTATCTTGCTATGTGATAGTTGGTGCTGCGCGCTGAGCGGTGAGAAGTGAGGAGAGCACCGTTTCTGGCCTGCATTGATTCTGAACCTGCCCAGTCATTAGTCGCTGAAGTTTTCTTGAATTTACGGCAGGATGTCGCGTACCTTCATGGCCATAGCAATCATACTGAGTCGGACCGAGCGTTCACTCCGGTTACGTTCTTAATGTACAGTGCTTGTGTGCATGCACGGTCCTCGCCGACAGGTTGCATGATCTGGAATTATGGGGTATTGAGCCTTACCCATCGGGCGCGGCGTTGTGGCGAGAGACGGTCTATACTTAGTGGTGATCAAGTGAATGATTGTTCAATAAGTCCCGGGGTAGCGACCATAGAGGGTAGAGTGGTGGGAGGTCCGTGGAAGCATAGAGTCATGAAGCGGTGGTCCAGCAGTGGAGGCCGTTATAGGCCGTAAACGCGTCTGTGGCTAGATCGGGCACCGATCTTGCGCTACATATCGGTGACGCCGGCTGGCACGCAGTCACAGTTGAACTTACATAGCGTAGGTTAGCCTGCTCGGCGTGATCCATCTGGTGACGGTCATTGCTGAAGAAACCAAAATGCTCATCTAGAGGGAGATGACGAGATGGCTTGTTTCGACATACGATCGACATAGGGTCAGGCTCGACGGTCTAGGAATTCATCGCGCTCAGATACAAAGGTGTGTCACATCCTACCATCGATTCGTTCTCGAAGGTTAGAGGAAGCCATCTGCTTTTCCCCGGAAAGCGGTCGCATACGGTGTACGACTGTGACGAGAGAGGTGTCCCACAGTGACTCGTGAGTAACATTTCGCACCATCCTTGCTTCCCGATGGTCCCCATGAAACGGCGATTCTTGGGAAAGGTGCGACAGATCGACGTACTCTGTCGACAGGAAGAGCTTCAAAAGCCCAACGTCGAGTTCCTGATTTTCCCACAGGTAGTAGTTGTACGGAGCTGAGCCAGCTGTGCCGTATCCGATGGTTACGGATCCGTAGGGCTCAAGAGGTGGGTCCACTCGCACAGAGCCTGCTGATGGTGGCTCATAATACGATGCTAGCGTCATACGGTAAGTAATAGCTATTCTATGACTGCAGAGCACTCACTGATGCTCAAATCGCTGCTACTGAAGTAGAACAGCGAAAGATAGAGCGGGAAGTGGCTCTCGTTGACGAGATTGATTCCATATATGGCATCCTCGTCGACGAGAAGGTCGACCATGCCCGCGATATTTAGATCTGGCCCATATGGCTCGTAAGTCGGATCGTCGAACTCATCCTCCGCAGGGACCTCTCGCAGTCTTCTGAACTCTATCCTCACGCTCCCTGCTAATGACTGCTCCGTGGTTGTCCGCTTTAGGTGCCAGAAGAAGTGCGACGCTGCGTGCAGCGTCTCGCAGACATCATCGGTTGAGACGTCGAGGTGAAATGGTAAGTGCTGCACACCGCACGCCGCGATCAGCGGATGCAGGATGGTCAGATGCATGATCGACGCCTCCATGACCGCCTCGAGGTCTGCGGAAGCCTTATCCACCAGCTGAACCTTCGTAGGCCTCGATAAACCATCTCGCGTATGGTTTGCTATGGCATTCAACACGAACGAGCGGCAGGTCTCCGTTGCAATGTGGAGTTGTAGATATTCGTCAGTACCGGCCTCCGTCTGCAGGGCATACGCTGACTGTCCAGGAGCCAATTCTAAGGTTGGGTGGGCGGATGTGGCCACGAGCGTGCTCTCGACTGAGCGCACCTCCGAAACGCGAAGGATTGTGAGAGGAGGTGCCCCAACGATCGGATCGTCTCTGGCCCGGTAAACGGCATACGGAGAGCCAAGGGCCACTCCGTTAATAGCACCTGCTGCGAGGATTACCCCTTGTGTCTCGGCTGACTATGTGGAGGGGTCGCGACGCCGAGAGCTTGGAATTGAAGAGAATTCGGTCTTGAAAGTAGCCTTCACACTGCGGATTCTGTCTGGCGAAAGGAGGTATATCAGTACGCATCGCCGAACTCGAAGTTCACTTGATACCTCACCCTGGTAGTGCGTACATCTGTCGCAGTAGATCCCGGTAGGTCACTCGGTGTGCACCGACAGTCGAAAGTGTACGTAGTAAGGCGACAGTGAAGATACCGCGTTCTTGTTGTTCCATCGCCAGCTCTTTCGAGCCACATGCGGCGAGAAGGACATGCGAGCGCAGACCTCGGCGAAGAAATCCCGGGGCGATCTCTGCGTGACGCGTGCCTCCGTGGAGGCTTAAGATGGATGAATCCAAGCCATCGGGTAGGGTTCTGTCACATTGAGACCTCGAGCCAACCTAGTAGGATCTGAAACAGTCGTCCGCGTCCCAGACCCAGAGTGACAGCAGTCCAATATGACTGTCTGTAACTATAATTCAAAGCTGCAAATCGCAAGGTGGAATGCCAACGCACAATGTTATCCCCTTCACCTCAGCTAGGCGTGCCAGCAATGCTCCTAGGGTCCTATCGGGAATACTATGGACTGTCTGGCTGTTAGCCGCGATCCATAGTCGTAGGAATAAGGGTTTGGATGCTGGCCGTCGACCATGTCGACGGAGGTTCTGCTTCGCCGCCATGCCCAGCATAGTACACAAGAATAGGATCTCCGGGTTCGATGCGTGGATCATCCCGCATCTGTAATAATTGATCAATGATAGCAGTACGCGTCGCAGAATGATCGAGAAGACATCGAATATGATCCGTAGGAACCTGCAGCTGAGCATGTAGATATTCTACGACTGCTTTCGCATCAGGAACAGCTCCTCGCAACGAGGTACTGTCGAATTGCTGTAGTTATTGATCCCGACAACGAGGGCGAATATCCGTTTCAACCTGTTCATCGCATGAGAAGCTAATACTGTACTAATATGGTGTTGGAGTACGTACTCGGGAGATACTGCATACACGGGTCTATCCCGGTAAGACAGCTTGAGTTATAGTCACCATACTAGGTAAAAGGAACACGACTCACCCTCGATCTATGGAGCGGCCGACTGGTCTGAAGTTGTATGACCGCCGACATGCCGAGATGTTCGACGGGTGGCACTACATAGTGCATGTCACGGTTGACCGACACGGATCGTCATGGTTAGACCACCTTTGAAGGCTGTTCGTACCAGAGAAAACGAGAAGGGAGTCGGGACACCCGGCTTGAATGTCTGTATCGCAGAGGACGCGTGATGATCGGTAAACAATGAGGACGAAGGGGAGATAACTGTGTGTCTGCGCCGAGCTACTATGTAGACACTGGTAACTTAGTGAAGCAAGTCGGATTCCGTGTTCAAGTTGTTGGGTGCGCGGACTCAAGCTATGCTCGAGACTCTGAGTAAGTAAAGCCCCGTGCTGTGCGCTGCGCCGGTGACAGAACTGATCGGTTCCCACCACCGACCGTGCGATCGATTACGGCATGGTGCCGCTCTCTCAGTGAGACTCTCAGTCCTACAACTCATGTACTAGCTGGATTCCCATACGAATCACTCATCGCTACGCCCAGCCTGGGATTCATCACACTGGACCTGGTTGCGCAAGGGCAAAGAGACGTAAACCTAGAAAACGCACCGCTGCCCGCCGTCGCTCTCATAATGCCTGCTACTCAGGAGATGGAGGATTCGGCGACCGTGCCAACGGAGCAGTCGTCGGAAAGAGTGCGTTTACTATCCTTTATTATTGAATATGTTGTCCATACTTCACCGTATCAGAATGCCGCGCTCGATACCCAAGTCAACGAGCTGAAAGAGGTTCTTCTGCAGAACCCCGAGGGAAGCGAGCCATTTCTGGACGCCATGGAGGCAATGATTTGCCTCTACGACACATCTTTCGTGTCTTCGCCTCACCAGCATGTCTATCGCGACGAAGCCATTGACTTGAGGCGCGAGTGTGCTGGCGTCTGTCCAAAAGGCAGCTCGAGACAGCTTGAAGCCCTGTATCAACTCGCTATCACCTTGCAATATCGTTCATTTCCAGAGCACTTGCTCGGGACCATATCGTCACCGAAACCTGTAGCGAGACGCAGAGCTACGCGGAAGACGACCTCGACGAGATGTGCCACACAAAGGCCGCGCTCGATATATGCGACCCAACCCATGATCTGTATACGCCACTGACTGGCCAGCTGGGGCTTCTAGTGCATAGGCGTAACACTGCATCGGAGCTACAGCACTCCATCCTCTTGCTTCGATCTGCATGTGTGTCATGGCCGGCGGGCGACACTCAGAGGACCCCAGTCCTCAAAAATCCGCCCATGCGTTATACCCTCATCGGCGCAAGTGACAAGACATCTGCCATACGGAGATGCTGGAAGCAGTCGACGTGCATAGGGAATGGCCGATGCTACCGCGCAACTCAGCACTTCGCATTCAGACTCTGGTGCAAATGCGAAGTCTTAGTTTTCTATGTGCTCACCGTCAATCATCTCGAGTGATACCGTCGCTGCGCGACGCAGCAGATGAGGTCTGCAAGCCGGAGAAAACAGTGGCAACGGGCTATGGCTCAGGACGATGGCCGACGCATGGATAGTGATGCCGAGACTCTAGTGGTTGCATGCAATTATGGTCTCACTGAACGTTGTGTCTGACCATACCTCAGTTCCGAAGAAACGGTCAACCCTCTGGTCAACTGCCGCCTTGAGCGCATGCTCATATTGCCCGATCCGGATCCATTGGGTAGCGCCCGATACCACAGGGGTTCGCTCCGGGTTCGGTACTCTGCGGATCCAACACACGCTTGATGACAAGACGTGAACTCTACAGCTATATCAACTATCTCCTGCAGCATGATCCCTCCTGGACAGACCGCTAGGCGTGAGCGATACCAGACTATCGGTGCGCTATTTCGCCACCGATATGCCAACTGCAAGGAGAAGCATGACTTGGATGCAGCTATCGAGTACCAACAGGCAGCGTGGCACATCACCGACTCCCATGATGATCACTTTCCTTTGTTAACTCAAAACCTCGAGGACGCATATCGTGAGCGGTATCACACGAGTCACGACATGAGGATTTCAAGCGTTCGCTTAAGCTGGGAATATGGCCTATGGAGGATAGCCTGGTTACCATGGGTCCTCAATTACTACCGGCACCCATGGGGAATCTTCCTCCTCCCCCCCTCGCCAGCTAGAATCGCGAGCCGAGCATCGGGAGTTCATGATACAGTATCACCGCGACACAATTTCCAAAGCACACGTACCTAGCGCGGGCATGTACAAGGACCTGGCATCCCACCTCTTTGAGAGTTTACTGCAAATTTCCTACGATTTTGCAGTTCTTACGGAGGTTCTCGATCTTCTCGACAAGATTGATGCAGCTGACGATCCTCATCGTTCGCTGGGCATATGGTTATCCCCACGCGAGCCATGATCTACTCAGCCTGGTACAGGAGAACAGGCGATGAGCAGTATCTGGCTGCTGCAGTGAGACATCTGTCCACAGGAACAATCGCGGATCGGATGCAAGTGCTCTGGGAGCGCTACACACGGAACGGCTCCCTGGCCGATCTGGACAAGGCATTGCGATTGGACGGCTGGCTCGTAGCAGGTTCCCTACGGGCAGCGACCAATGGAGTTTCTATCAGATGCCACTCACACTATGCCTGAATACACGATACGGTCATGGAGGCGATCCCAGCGATATAGACGAAGTCATCGCTTTGCCTGACGCTCCCTCTACTGAAGTGGTCGAAGCGTACCTGCTTCGCTACGAACGTTACGGCCGTATAGAAGATCTCAATATTGCCTCCCGCATCGACGCGCTTAGTGTCAAACATGATAATGAAGATCCAGACAAGGAGGTCTTGCATAACGCCTCCGGCGATGTCCTGTTTGCTTTTGTCCGGCGAGCAGTTGTTCATTGCCATGCATTGCTTGCGCTGTACGCGCTGAACGGGTCTGCCGACGTAGTGCAGTCTGCACGGAAAACGCTCGTCAGCGTGGAACACCGTTGTCCATATTCTTTACGGGCAAGCCTCTCCATTGCAAGCAAGTCTAGTCATGGCCCCCGCGTCGCCGAGTATGCCGCATTGGATGAAGCTATCACCGCAGCGGTATCTGCCCTACAATCCATACCCGCAACCGATGTCAGAAGACCGGGACTGAACGCGATACTTGGTGAGGCGTATCGCAGCCACTACGGACTCACCGGAGAGGCGGAAGACATCGAATCCAGCATAGAAACGCTTCAGACCTGCCTTGCTGGCATCTCCTTCACCAATCCGTATTGGGCTAACTACCGCGTCGCGCTCGGGAGTTCATTCGAGATACTCTCAAAAGCAAAACCAGATGCCTCACTTGCTACGCAGGCGATGACAGCTTTCCGCGATGCTGCACAGGCGCCGGCGGCGTCCTTCGCGTTCGATACAACGGTGCGCTCTCCTGGGCTCGTATGGCCGATACGCACCATGAAGCGGACGCACTACTGGCCTATGACACCGTTATGGAGATTCTCCCCCAGTTTGCTTCGCTGGGACTTGACATCCGCGACCGCCATCGATCACTTGTCCGCAGCGCGTCCGGGGTGGCCTCAGATGCTGCCGCGTGCGCAATCCGCTACAATGACATCCGCAAGGCCGTCGAGTTCCTTGAACGCGGGCGGTCCGTATTCTGGCGCCAAGCTTTGCAGCTCAAAACACCTATGACCCGGCTCGAAGAGAGTGAGCCCGAGCTCGCCCGTAGGCTGGCGGAGCTGGCCCGGGACCTCAATATTAGCGCATTCCGCACCAGGATGGACGGGGATGTGAGTGCGCGAGACGCTTTCATTATCCGCGAAGGGGCCAAGCGTCGTGCACTCGCTGAAGAATGGGAGCGGTTGCTCACAGACGCGCGGCATGTCGAGGGGTGCGAGGACTTGCTGCTGCAGCCCTCTTACCATCGACTCGCACAGGCTGCATTGTCTTCCACAATCGTCTTGCTCGCCAGTACTGAACAGTCAGGCTACGCGATCATCATCGAGGGCGAGATGCATCACCGAGGTATCTGCCTCTTTCGGCCATCCCATACAGTCGAGTCTCGGGCTGGGTCGATCGACTTCGCGTCACTTTGAAACAAGCCAACAGAGGGGCCCGCCAGGCATTTGACACTCAGGACCGATACAGTGGCCCTGCTCGCCAGCGGAAAGCACAAGGCGAAGAGGCGACTCTCATACGTTTACTGGGTGCGATCTGGCGCGATGTTGTCCAACCGGTCCTGGACTACCTCAAATTCACAGAAGTACGTCAGTGAGATGCGGAATCGTCAGACACTCGCGACTCACCTTTCTATCAGGTCCGTGAGGATCCTCCGCGCATTACATGGTGTCCTACGGGTGCTCTCGCGCTGTTACCCATTCACGCAGCGGGAATATATGACGGGAAGCTCGGACCGTGTGCAGCTGATTACGCTGTTTCGTCCTACACACCGACACTGTCCGACCTCCTAACGACGTCGACATCATCTGCCATTGGATCACCGATCAAAATCCTCTTGGTTGGTCAAGCCGACTCACCTGGCCACCCTTCTATCCCTAATGTCGATGTTGAACTCAAGAGTGTCGATGCAGTTATTCGCTCAGTCGCCAAGATGCACTGTGTTCAAAGCTCAGACGCGACAAGCCTCACAGTACTCGCCGAGATGGCAAAATCTCACATCACTCACCTCGCTTGCCACGGAATCGCATCCCCGACTCCTCTGGATAGCGCGATAGTGCTCCACGATGGAATTCTCCCAGTCCTTAGGCTCATGCGCACTCCGTTGCCCGACGCCAAGCTTGTGTTTCTGAGTGCGTGTCAGACAGCACGACTGAGTGCGTCTGAGCCGGACGAGTCTATCAACATCGCGTCAGCTATGCTATCTGCCGGGTTCCAAACTGCAGTCGCGACTATGTGGTCTATCAGTGATCGTGACGCACCCCGCATTGCCGAGTTGTTCTACCGGCACTTGCTACAAGACGGTAGCATCAATTTCGGCGGTGCAGCTCGCGCACTTCACGCAGCAGTCAAGGTGTGCCAACAGTCGAGGATGTCTCCTCTACAATGGCGGCGTTCATACATGTTGGAGTATGATTTGCCAAAATCGACGGGCCTGTTCTGTCCGAGTTGTGTTTATGCCACATTAGGATTTAGCCAGAATTTCAAAGCATCGCACTCGTCTCGCCCTACGGAGGAGAAGCCGCGTGAAGACAGCGATGTTGATCAGCGACCAGAACCAGTCAGAGTTGCGATTGCTAGAGGAAGGACAGTTCAAGTTCGTGACGCGTCTGTGGCTGTCAGATCTGTGCTCGATCCCGCAGACGCCCGAGACGCACCGGACGAGCACTGGAGAGTTCTCGAGTCCCAGGCTACTTACCTACGATGCGACGTGCGACGTAGTGCGGAATTGGGCGGTGAATCAACTGGTGCGTTTTGTGCGAGACAGTACTCCAGTGTGCAACGTACTGGCTGTGCCATAGTTGCGTAACTTTCCTCATGGTCACGGTTTCCACGCGTGGACCACTCTCGGCTGGCAGCGCACCCGTGAGCAAGACGACTGTCTTGCTTCAGCAGTGTTCCAGCGAAGGATGACCCTCGTTGTCGTCGCAGAGATCGCGCATTTCGCACTACGGCATCTCGTACCACCGCGACTGTGGAGCCGGTTTGGCGACTCGTTCGAGACCTTTCCGGACGTTGCTCCGTCAGCGAGCCTTCGGTTCAATGGGAGTAACGGAACTCACCGATGGATGTAGTCTTGCAGCGTGTGTTAGTGGCTCTCAGGCATACGTCTGGTCGCCATGCTGGCGCGTTATTCACAAGTCCCTCGCAGAGCTGCGGTTCCACTCAGGATTATACACAGGAGGCGGAGAGACGGGCACCGGGCCTGCATCTTCGTATATAGTCGGTCCAACGGCCTGTCGCGCCGCCGGTTGTTGGCGAGAGCATGGCGTCGCGTCGGTGAGGGAGAGCCGGGGGTCTGTCCCCGGACTAAGGCGCGACGGCCACATCCATCGAAGACGTCCTCGTTGGCGTGTGTAGCCTGGTTTGTATCAATGCACCTTCCCCTGTATTCGTTGACCCGGACGACCTGGGTCTCATGAGGCGTAGGAGGCGTCGCCGCGCGGAAGGTGGCCGGGTGGGGTTCGTTCCAGCTCGCCGATCTTCCGCGGCCAGAGACATGGCGGACTCTGCAACGCGGCGCAGGGCGGTTGCATCGCAGCTGCGTCGACTACGGGCAGTCGATCAAGTCAGTATGCCAAGCTACAGGTGGGAGGAGACGTTAGGCCCGGGGCCGCCAAGTCAGGATTCAAGATAGACTCACAAGTGCGGGGCGGCGTTGGCGACCTGAGCACCTGTCAGCTAGCACCGCTGACCAGTCATTTTCCTGTCAGAGGGCGATAGATGGCTGGTTTAGGAGGAATGGTAACGGCGCGATGGAGCGGGGCGGTAGTCCTAGTCTGAAGGGATGCATCGGAGGGTCTCGCTGAATTTAACAAATCAACCGAGGCCGCGCAGGGTATTTATACCTGGTGCTGATCGCTTAGGCTATTGTTCCTGAGGCGGCGTCGCGTGGGCGACGGATATGTATGTGGCTTTGTGGTACGGCAATCTAGACGGGCTTCTAACACGTTCCTAAGCATCATGAGTCCGCACAAAGAGGAGGCAAGGCACCCGCGCTGGGGCTTTGATCGGTCGTCCTCGCTCTGATTGAAGAGTGAAGAGCCACCCATAACCGCCCCAAAACGGACCGCCGACAGTGTGGAAGCTTTTCGCAATTCACGATACTGTATTACAACTCGAAAGAAAGCTGACAGAGTATCCATGTCATGCGCTTCCCAGGAAACATGAGACAAGAATGGCGAACGCTTTGACATATGACGTACCTGCATACGACCACCTGTGGCCTCCGTTGCTATGTAGCCTTGACCCTGAACACCTCCCGCGCACAAACACGGACACGCTACATGCGATAGCTCGATGTTGCGGGTCAATCGTACCCCCATTGCGATCCAAGTCATGCGGTAGCGCGTCCTTTGCCGACTTCCCGAATGCCCATCGGCTTTTGTTACGCACGGTACCATTCTTATTGACCACTCCGCGGAGCAATATCCGCGGCCACCGCACCGACGACGATCTGATCTGGTCACAGGGGTTTCTGATGCCAAAGGACAGCGGAGGCGTTACTGGCACGATGTGTATATGAGTAGACAGTCTCGTCCGTCTTCTTTCAACACCATACTCACGCGATGTGTTGGCCCGTCGAAGCTGCATGGAGTCCACTACCAGCATCCACCACCGGATCTTCATATGCAGCGCGGAGAAAGCCAACCATGCGCGGCGAGGCTGGTGATTGGGCTTGGTTGTCAGACTGCGAGGGGGCATTGTCAGCATCAGCAAACCCTGAGTGAGTGGCCCTTTCCTCACCGCTTTCGTCTCAAATATGAACATTCGCAAAAGATTGACAAGGAACATCCGGAAGCCAAGACGCGATCAAGACAGGTGAGTCTCTTCTGCAGTCTCATCACGAAAAGGCTAGACGTACTCACACGACCTGAAAGGCCCACCCGGCATGGAGAAATCATTGGGTATGCACTGGTGGGGCATGAGTTGCAGCTCCAGTCTTCAGAATGGCACTGAGCGGGACTATGGCAGATTATAAAGTCAACCAGGCTTCCCTCGTTGACTCATTAGGGCGTTCGGTCTTGCAAACGGCCCGAGAGGTCTTCCGACTTGTATGGTCCCTCCAAGAGAGTCCTCCCGCGATAGGCATGTGAACCGCGAGGTGCGCTCCAGCTGTGTTGAATGGTTGAGGACCCATGAATGGTAGTGATGAGCTGGCTGCTCGTGCTCGTCGACGCGTAAGCACTTGTGAGCGGCGATGGAGGACGACGCGTCTGTGGCGGGAAGATCGGGCAGCAATCTGGCTGACGCCCGCAAGGTCGACCTTCTCTTCCAAGTCACTCAACTTGTGCAAGTACTGGTGCATATTTCGCTGAGACCTCTTATAAACTTTTCATCGCCGTTATGTCACCTCTGTATGCGTTTCCTGACAGGATGAAAAGTCACCAACGACGCGCCGCTCATTCAAGTTGGCACGGACACTGTTGCGACGACATCCTGACTGACCCTATCGCTCACCCGGACCACGGCAGACAATGCGCTTCAATAAGTACGCGAGTAATGCCGCGGCTACGTGGCCAATGGTGAGCATTCTCGTCGACCAATGGCTACTGAAAGACATCCAGTCTCACAGCAATAATGCATGAAGTCGATCGCGACATGCGACCTCGCCAGACAATGACTTGTACGTGCCATGCATTGTTTTGACGATGTCCACTTCCTCCATTAGAGACCTTTGTCTCTAGTTAACTTGCGTGTTCCTACTTCAGGTATAAATACCCCCTCCACCGCTCTCCATTTCCTCTCATCAAAGCCGCCTCCCCACTCTTGAGCCACCCAACATGTCGCCTCACTTGCTCTGTCGTCTATTGACGGAGCCTCCTCCTCTTGCTTCTGCGTCGTGGCGCTGTCTGCGCGCGATACCATTCCTCCTAACCGCCACATACGCCAACGCTCAATCCCTCGACGGGCTCACCGGCCGTCGACACAAGGAGGCGGTGATGGAAGCTCCTCAGGCAACCTGTCTTGAAAGAAAGGCCCGCTCGCGGAGCAAACTGAGCCCGGCACCGTATCTCCCAAGAGGCTGCAATTTTTTGCGCAATCATCCCGTCTAGGAGGCGTTGATGACACCGGCGAGCGACGGGGAGCCTGAGGAGACCTGAAAGACTGTCTGAGACTTGCGCGGAGCCACGTTTCGTACACCCGTGAGTACCCTACATCCCCGTTTGACCATGTACTGACGCACTGGTGATCGCATTAGGGACTCGGGCCAACCCTGGAGCGGCGCTGATGCTTCGCGGGGTCTCGTTCAATCTTGAGGAACAACATGCATGGGACCATTATATCTCAGCGGGGCGTGGGCGGGATATTCAGGGACGTCTTCAGTGAGTACTGACTGACTAGACATCCGTTACTCACATGCTAACTTGCACTCACTGCAAGCTGGTAGTGAGGGCCTCAAGGACTCGGGCGGCCCAAAGGTGGACGCGGCAACCCGTAGGACGGCTCTTTTACCTTGAATGACCTATGGTACAAGCACCGGCAGTCCGCGTTCACTGACACGCGGGATTTCTTACCTGGCCCGATCGTCGCCCGAGGCCTACCTCTATGGCTCATTTGCATCGTCTATCAGTCATGGTGAGTGTTCGGAAATCGGGTGCTTTGCGTCTCATTATTGAATGCTCGATTATCCAGATGCTCCTGTGTACCCTCTCTGCCGCCCCCAGTCATCCCGTCGCATCCAGACCCCTCAACTTGCCGACTACAGCATGGATTCGAGAGCGATCGGCATGACGACGGTCAAAGAGATAATCAACACGCTCGCAGAACAAAGTGTCTGTTTTTGTCGGTCGTGGTCGTAACCTCGTCACTAACAACCGACTGAATACGATATAGTCGATGCGCACCCTTACTCCCTTGACGAAAAGGGGTGCCTAAGAAAACAAAAGAGTCAGTGGCGAAGTCTCCCGACCAATGCTCGTCGTCCCCCTGGTGGTGGATCGGCGAATGGCCAAAACCAGGGCTCCGGTACACGTTCCGGACAGGTGGGTCATACGAACATCACTCCCTCGCTTGTCTCTGACAGGTCTCGCAGCAGGCCGCTGTAGAGCTTGCGATGAAGTCGGCAGACGCCGTCCTTCTTCGCCCAAAGACAGCTGTGGGCTGTGGCTGACCTTATACCCCATCGCCACTTATCGCAGCGGAGAGTGCTCGTCATGGACCGACAACTCTTCTGCGGACCGCAGTACAGGTGTGCCCTTCGAACGCATACCCTGGCCGTCGGCACATCCATGTCGCGTGCACTCGTACACTGTAACGACGAACCTGCCATCCGCGCGAGATACCCTGGGGGGTCCGAGTCATTTCGAAGCCACATCTCGACTCAGACGAGGATACAGAAGACCTCGAACATCGAAGACACGGGTGTAGCCACTCTTCCATGCCGGCGCAGTAAGGTGGGAGCACTCGCGCACGATCGCGGAGATCATCAGTGAGCTAACCGCGGACCTCAACTGGACGTTGCTTCAGATTTGCAGCGGGTTGGATTCCGCTCCCCACTTCGGCTACCGGCTCTAGGCCACGTTTACGCACTGCGCCAAGGCCGAACATACCGGCGATTGGATGTCGGCCAGCAGAATGCCTTTCCCGGAGCTATGCCCCCGAGTCGGCGGAGACCAGGTAGTTACTGCATTCGCATTCGCATTGCTCGGTCTGCTGATGTCCGCCGACAGGATACAGCCCTGAGCGGCAGATCTAGGACATCGCAAAGTCTTCTTGCGATAATGCGGACTGCAATCCCTGCTTCTGCACACCAAAACTCGCCATGGCGCAAGACGAGGACTAACGCATACGGTGCATCGGAGCGCAAGTGGTAGCCCGGGACTCACGCCCGCACCTGCGCTTCGATGAGCGTCGGTCCAGCCTGATTTCGATCTCAGGTAGGCCGATGGCCTCGTATCACTGCGCGAGAGGGCACAGGTACTGCAGCACTCGCCTGGTCGTAAGTCCCCCGTCGCCGTCTGGCTATCGCGAGACTGACGTGCAGTTGCTGTAGACGCGGGCATGGTCGCATGGTTTCACTGCACCAGTTGTACGCGAGCCGACAGTGGTGTCTAGCGGACGCGACTCGACGCGGGCTGTTTCAGAACACGCTGAGCTCCGTTGGAGCTCGCCGTGGCCATGCTAACTTAGGGATGATGTAGAGGATCCCTGCGGATGCTTCAATCACCGGTATCCATCAAGGATGGACTGGCACCGAAGACATCCAGGATCCTTTCGACGAACCCCTCAACGTGTAATGGTCGTGAGGTGCTCACACGCGCGGTAGCAGCTCATGGGCGGGTCGCGAGCCCGTTGGCTTCTCGCACCACCTAGCGAGGGTTAGGACATCCATTCGACTGGTGCGTCGTCGACGGGAGAGTTCTCTCGTGCAACGCGTAGCGGTCGTGTGATTGTGCCTGTATGTGGAGGTCGCCAGGGGATGTGTCGAAGAATTGGTCGACTGATGTCGACGCTTCATCATTGTATTTTACAAACCATCCACGCGCTTACTCGCCTGTGCCAACACTGTACGGCCTACTTGCTGGCGAGTCTGCCCGACCTTGTTACACCTCAGTGCTCGACAGTACGTGGTCAAGGAAAGCCCAGGTCTCCCACCAAGGAGCATCACCTATCGCGGGAGTGAGTCGACTCACGTACATGAGGTCGTACAATGCAGACAAACTCACTCGGTTCGATGCGCAGAAGTCCACGGGCTGCCGCGTCTGGTAAGCACCGTCGCACTTCTGCATGATACTCGTCTACGCCAAATATGGACCGCTTGTGACAGAAGACGAGTTCCCTGGGGTTCAAACGATGCTGCGCGACGATCTCGGCAAGACGATCTAGTCGCAGTAGACGCAGACTCTCTTCGTCCAAGATCTCCTGGTTCGAGATCCTCAGTGCCAAGAAAGGCCGCGGTTCAGAGCGCGAGCTCGGAGAGCATGGGACGATCCATTCGCCTCGGTTCATGGAAATGCA